ATTAATAATATATTTTAAATAATAGCTAATATAAACGTCAAAAGTTTCTAACGATATCAATCCGTTTTCTTCTCTGAGATTGATTGTCGAATGTTACAAAGCGATCCACATAGTGGAAAACAAGAAAGTTGTGAATATACCGATATGTATCTATTTTACCCACAAACAAGTCTTAGACAAATCCTAGATTGTATTCCGATTTTCTCTAACAATATTGAAAAACTATGATATCTGACACGAAATACGGATACATTTTTGCACTGGCAGTAATATCGAAATGGTACACAAAGCAGCATAAATTTAATGCAATCTTCTCTTATATAATCCATTAAAGACTAAAGCAGGATCATCTTACATTCATCATCTACAATAGTTACAGAAAGTTTCTTGAGACGCATTTTTATTTTATATTCAGTATTCTGAAGTAATGAATTAGTAAGATTCTTACGTATCCATTTCTGCATCTGCAAAATTAACATAGTTATGTTAAATATGTATACATTCTGCAAAATTATTAATTTCAGAAAGGAAAATTGTACATGAAACACATGACATTATATAATAATGTTATGATATTACTTGTGTATCTTACTTATGTATTCATTTATGTATTTCTTTATAGGCTATCAAATCATTATTGACAGAGAGCTTATATGCAGGCAAAGCCGATTTTACTGATAATAACTAAAAAAATCCTTAGTCCGCGTCGCGATATTCGCAATTAATAAAAAGTTAATAAAAAGATAATACGCACATTTACGATTGTTGTTAGGTATGCGATGAGATATTTAGGCGTATTATCTACAAATAGTGCACTATTCGCTTACTTGCACGCATCTAAACGTCTCGTTTCTAGCAACAATGAAAGCTATATCCTATAGGCATATGATTATTCACAAATTTTTCATTAAATAATGACTTATTAGTAATTGAGAAAAATACGAAAAATATAGGATTTTTTATCCTGTTTTAACAATGCAACTCTTATACAAATGTCACGAAGTGAGGATCCTTTACAACACACAGAATCAGAATGTATCAAGTTTTGGAAAATACTGACGTTATTGTTTTTATAATAAAATAATAAATAAAATAATTTTGTAAATTTGTATGTTGTTTGTAATTAGTAACAATACTCATACATATATTAAAAATTAATAATTTACCGACTTTTAATGAAATATATAAAATGAAATATATAAAAATAAATTATTAATTTTTTTATATTACATATATATGTTATTTATATAATTCCTTAGTCAACAACATTAAAATAAAATTTTTGTAACATTATGACATATAAAATATAATCAAAGTAATTTAACAAAAATATGTGAAAAAAGTTATTGTGCTTAATAAAACTTACCTCACAGAGTAATTTACCAGAATATGTATAATTTATAATATTAATTATTGCTGCAGTTGTACTAATCTCTCTAGAAAAGAAATTGCATATAATATAGTATAACAAAATAATGTAATAAAGTTCTAATTGTATGCAAATTAAAAATTTGCATTAAACATATAAAATTTGAAAACATTGTTACTTGGGCTTGATTTCTTCCAAATTGTTTAATAAAATGTAATTAATTATATCATCATTTGCATGTCTCTGAATAACGTAATAAAACCAATAAATATAGTTTTTAATAACGGAGATCCGTGCATCTTTTGTATCAGAAAGGACGTAATCATTTCTTAACTTCTTTAACTTATCGAAGAGAGACAGGAGACTGTAAGTATCATTACAGCAAGCTAGAGATTTCATCATTTCTGGATATTTAATTTTCGAAACTTTATCCAAATCTATAAATAGTTGGTCAAGAGAAATGCTAGATACACATAAACCATTACAGAACGTCCATTCCCTCCACCATGGTAACAGTTTATTTTTTACTGAAACATTTTACCATAAAATTATAATTTGTATTTTTATATATTTTTATTTAAAGTATGACGTGTATTTTAAATATTATAAAAATATTACAATAGAAGAACAAATAATTACATC